TAGCAATCAACTTTATACTTTTCATACCGTTCAAATCTTTTTCTATTATTACTTAAACCTTAAGTTTTTTTCTGTGCAGTTGCTGAGGTCTGTAATGGGGGGGAGCCCCAAAACCTCGAAATGAAAACTTACACTCACTATTTTCTTTGAAAATATACGTGAGTTCTACAAAAGCAGTTTTCATAACCATCGAACGAATAAGTTTTTTAGACGAAGCTCAAAATTAATCTAAACCAAAATGAAGACCGAGACTAGTCGATAGTCTCAGTTTAGTCTCGGTTTTGGATAGGTCCCTACTTATTACCATTTTAAATTCTCTAGCTACTACATCAACCACTTCCACAACTGCTACGACAACTACAATAACTACAACAACTACAACAACCACAACCACATCGACAACGACAACTACAACGACAACAACGACAACAACTACAACAACCACAACGACAACGACGACAACAATAACGACAACAACTACAACAACAACAACAGCAACGACCTCGACAACAGCTACAACGACAACAACCACCACAACACAAATGCTTGGTACGTCCTATTTTCATTCACTAGAACTGACTGTTTTAGAAAAAATTCTCTCCTTCGTAATAATGCTTTGGGTAGAAAATTTCTTAATCAATATGATTGTCTTTTTCGGATAGCATTCGCGTTTAATACTTTGTATCCAAAAAATTCAAATCTTTTTATACCTTTCTAAATTCTCGAGTATGTTCTAAGGAAAAAAGAATGATGTTGTCTGAAAATTTTACACTTCAAAAATATAAATTATCTCGACTTACATATAACATAGTAAAGCTAACAATAATTATAAGAGATTGGATGTGGGTGTGGGTGTTGATCTCTTGTTTATCCACACTCGAAGAGCTGCTGCGAAGCCAGATGTAAGTCATGCCTACATAATGGTGTCAAACGACGAAAAAACACACTTTTAACATATATCAACACTTTTGGCTTTGTCTTTACAGAGAACGTATAAAATAATCTTACATTTTCACGAAATTCACTGAAATCAATACTACGCATATTGAATTTCACCGATACTGGCTTTCACTTAGAAAATATTTCACAATATGAAGATTTATTTGCGGAATAAGATCTTCGTCTGCTCTGAAACATAATTTCAAGAGGTTTACAGAGATTTTGTTGTTATTTTTTAACTTTCTTTGTTTTCATTCATTCGTTTGAAGCAAAGGCAAATAAAGAGAGTGATAGCATAATCCCATTACATCCAGTAACGACTTTTCCTTCTTCCAAGCTTACAGAGTATTCCTCAAAGTTAACCATACATCTCTCACACATTCGGTACATAACCCGGCAACGATGCTGAATATCCATAGATGCAACTATATTCTAAAAGTTGAGAAATTTGAGTTGTTTTGGTTCATTATTCTATACCGTGTCGTATAGAAGTCATTATCCTAATAATAATACATCAAACAACTCAAACTCATCAACTTTTAGAATATGTAGTTCTTTCAGGAGCAAGAAGTTGATTACTAATTGAAGTAATACGTATAATCTAGAAGTGCATGCATCTTACTTGGATGCTTCATGGGTATTATGACGTTAAACTCTCGATGCCCAGTGTAATGGAATTATGACATCTATGAGTAAAGAATTCGAAAACGTTTAAGTCAGAAATTCATTTGAATGTGCCCCGAGCTCTTAGATCTTTCAGTTTTCGTGAGTGAAGAAGTATTCTCCGTTGACATTATTAATTCTTGTTTTTCACTCTGAATGCACAAACTAATAAGTTTTTTTTCTATTTCCTTAATATGAAGTTGCTTAGCATTTTATTTTTAGACTTATCATCCTCTGAGCAAAGCTATAAAAGTGTTTCTCGTTTAGTTTTATCCCATTAATATTCTGTTTTGATTTTCTTTCTATATTATCCATTTATGCAAAATAGGTAAACATATTGATAAAAAGCAAATATTTCTTTTTTTATTATTATTTTTCTTTAATTGTTGTCACCTTTTTTTGTAGGATTTTTTCTGAGGAGCATACATCTGAGACTAAAACGAAAAAAGACTTGAATACTATAGAGTAATCAATAGATCTCGGCAGCATAAATTAAGGAGTCAGAATCACAGGTAAACTGTTGAATAGCAACAGGGTATCTATGGTCGTAAATACACAGTATGCTAGTCGTTTATGTCATAAACAACGCCGTAACGTCTTCCACTTCGATCAATATGTGTCTGTTTAACACTTGTGGTATGACTATGAACTGTTGAGAAACGAATACTACATGTTTTTTGTTGATAAAATACATAGAATTAGTATTTGTTTGCAGGATGGACACTAAGTGGAAGTATGAGTTATGATCGATATCATCACACGGAGTCTTTGTTAGCAAATGAAAAAGTGTTGGTTGTTGGTGGATATACTTCCTCTCTTGGTTCCTTAAGTACTGCTGAGTTGTATGATCCAGCCACATGGATGTGGACACTAACTGGGAGTATGAGTTATGCTCGATATTATCACACAGCATCAATGTTAACGAGTGGTAAATTATTAGTCACGAGTGGATATTCTACCACTAGCGGTTATTTAAATAGTGCTGAGTTGTATGATCCATCAACAGGTGTGTGGACACTCACTGGTAGTATGAGTTATGCTCGATACATTCACACAGCATCTGTGTTAACAAATGGAAAAGTTTTAGTGACTGGTGGATATAATGGAGGTGGTCTACGAACTACTGAATTGTACGATCCATCGACAGGAATGTGGGCACTCACTGGAAGTATGAGTTATGATCGATATTATCACGTGGCTTCTGTGTTAACAAATGGAAAAGTACTAGTTGCCGGTGGATACTCTAGCACTTATGGTGTTTTAAATACTGCTGAGTTGTACGATCCATCAACAGGTGTGTGGACACTTACTGGTAGTATGAGTTATGCTCGATATGTTCATACAGCATCTGTGTTAACAAATGGGCAGGTTTTAGTCGCTGGTGGATATAATGGAGGTGATCTGCAGACTGCTGAGTCGTATAATCCATCGACAGCAACGTGGACACTCACTGGGAGTATGAGTTATGGTCGATATTATCACACATCATCCTTATTAACTAATGGCAAAGTATTAGTCGCTGCTGGATATGGTGCCACAACTGGCGTTCTAAATAGTGCTGAATTGTATGATTTATCAACAGGCGCATGGACAATCACCACTAGCCTGAGTTATGCTCGACATGCTCACTCAGTATGCGTGTTAACGAATGGAAAAGTATTAGCTGTAGGTGGAGTTGGAATTAGCTCTTCAGAACTGTATCAACCATAACAAATAAGTCCAGAATGAAAATTATTTTCAGGAATAAACTTGTCTGTGAGAACCATTTCAAGAGAATTATTGTAGTTGACTAATGATTATACTTTAATCTTCTTCTCAATAACGAATGACTTAAATCTTAGTATCATTCTTCCTCATCATAATAAACTGTATTTAATTTGTTGTTCTTCAAAAACACTTTATTGCTAGAGAAACTTCATATGTGATGGAAAATCTCCATATAAAGTATCATTTCGAAACGAAGCCAATGAATTTAGTTAAAATTAATTGAATTCCAAGGTTTACCCTGTTCATGTAAGTGTGGACATTTCAATATACATTCTGACCCTTACAAATAGCCTGATTTACATATCAGCAATTGCTTATCAAATTATTAATAAAATAATTGATAATGACTTGATGTATTCTGCGGATTTTAGTGGATCTGAAAAAAGATAAATATAAATAATATTCACAAATAAATATTGTTGTTGTGATTTCGGTTAGAGATAAAGCTTTTGGAACATTAAACACTATGTTAAAATATAGTGCCGACTTTTGTTACTTAATTCAACTTGGTTGGGTGTAGCTGTGGGTGTATTCCTTCAACTTAAATCGACACCCACACCCACACCCTGCATGATGATGCTTTCTTTCATGTACTCATTTATATTAAAATATATAGACTTCAAACTTTGTAGTTATGTAGTACTACATAGGTATACTAGCCTCTGAAAATTGCGAAGAATTTGCTTTTATTATGTGTCAAAGCAATAAATTTTAAAGTACCATCAGAACTTCTGGAACACCCTTTACAAGATATATTCACCGAGATTTTTTAGGAATATAAATAATTTTCAATAGTCTCAATGTATCTCAACTAGCGATTCGAAGAAAGATAAAACAAAATTCAATAAACTATTTCAAGAATATAAAAGACATTAACACAGTACATATTTAATAAAAGAAAAATAGATTTTCTGACGAGTTTCACACCAGATCTAACGTTTTCTCTTAGAAGTTAAATCTAAAATTTTCCAGTAGATATCCAGTCTCAGACAATCAACAATAGAGTCTGAAATAAGATAAATGTCATAGTTAAGAACTCTTTACTGTGTGGCCAAAAAACTAACTATAGAAAATGTCTTAATCATGAATATTAGAAAATAGGAAATTATATTTGCAAAGTATAGTATTATTTAAAAAAGCCATTGTTCAGCGAAGCTTTTCTCCTTTTTGAACAGGCAGATTTGGGTGGGTGTGGGTGTGGGTGTGGGTGTCGGTGGGGCGGGTGTGGGTGTGGGTGTGGGTGTCGGTGGGGTGGGTGTGGGTGTGGGTGTGGGTGTGGGTGTGGGTGGGTGTGGATGTGGGTGTGGGTGGGGTGGGTGTGGGTGGGTGTGGGTGTGGGTGGGTGGGTGTGGGTGTGGGTGTCAGGAAATAGAAGATCCACTCATGCTCACACCCACACCCACCCACACCCACACCCACACCCGACACCCACACCCACACCCATCCACACCCACACCCACACCCTCTCCATAGAAATAGATATTATTTTCTCGGAGGGATCAAAACTTATGAATTATGCTCTTCTTTAAACTAAAATATCGTTTCAAATAATTAGTTTTTTTTATGTAAATGTAGTTTGAACAAGAGTATACCAGAATAGTTAATGAATCGCAATTTGACGACGTTACAGTAAAATTGATCAAATTTTATTTCGTAATTAGCAAACTATAGAGAATGAAATAAAAGTTTATTATTTTACTGAAAAGAAGCATCGTACTTGATAGTTTACAAAAATATTTCAAAGCAGGAGTTTGGAACTCAACATAAAGGTGTACAGTTAAGCTCAATGTCGAGTAGATACAACTGTAATGAACAATAAACGAAACTTGCTTAAAGTATGCATATTTAAAGATTCTCGAAAACTGGTTTTCAAATAAATAAATATATTTTTGTACACGAAATATGATAGAAACATTTATTCAGAATTATAAAATAATTACAACATCAAAAGCTTTGATAGCATTAATTCATCTGTCTTTTGATATTCTTAGGTTTTTTTTCTTTTCTTGATAAATATTTATTAATTATCTTGTTGAAGAGCTTCAGAGTCAATTCGATTTGTTTTATGTCTATAAATTTTAGCAAAAATAATTGCTAAACATTGAGTTATAATAAATAATCCACCATAAAGGGATATAAGAGATGTTATTGTTTGAATTACATCATTAGTTTCAATATAAGAATATGAACATGATAATGGTTTACATTGATTAAAATAATTTTCATATGATAAATTACTTTTAAACTCTTCAATCATTAAATTATTTAAAATAGATTCAATTGTTGAATTTAAATTAAATTGACTATATTCTAATGTTGATATATTTAATGCTGGAAATTTTCCATTTGAATCGATACAAGTTTGATTATAAAAACAATAAAGTTTTGTTTGAAGAATAGATTCAAGTGGATAGCAACCACTCATCATATCTCCTGATGATTGAGTACATTTAAATGATAATCCACAATTACATTGATCATAACTTATAGGTACTGTATGTGCAAGTGACATTTGAGAAAAGTCATCTTCATAAATATATTGCCAATTAGTATTCCATGAACTCATTATCATATTTGAACCAATTATTTCACGATTTAAATTTAAAGTATTAAGAAATGATTTGGATGTTGTTGATTGAAGTCGATTTAAAACTCTTTGAACTTGTTGAATTAAAAGATTTTCGGATAAAAGTTGAGAATTAATAAAAAAACTTGTGAGTAATTGCGAAATAGCATGAATTACTTTATCTTGACTAATTGTACAAACTGAAGAAAGTAAAATAAATTGTCCAGGAGCTGAATAACGATAATCATCAAATGAAAATCGACGAGAAAGATTACCTTGACCATAAATATAATAAATCCATTCATCCGTAATAAATTGACTTGAACATAAATCATGAAATTTAGGTTCAATCGAAAGAAATGCTTCATATGGAATAGATATTTGTGAACAAAGACATTGAAGAAAATCAGAATGATCTTTTAATAAATATTTATGATTTAAAATTGATGGTTTTAATATTTGAACAGTGACTGATTTCGGTTTAAAAGCAGAATATGTAAATATTAAAAATAATGTCAGTAAAAGAAAAACCAAATGCAATCGATTAACAAGGCGTTGTTCACTATTACAAACAAATAAGTTTTTTATCATTGTTATAAATTGATTAAAAGAATTATTATGAATTGTCTTCTCAATAAATCGAAGAATAATTAAAGTAAGTAATTTCAATCCAAGAGATAAACCACCGAATATACTAAGAATTGTTGTTATAATAACGAATAAATCATTTCGACTAATAAATTCATATGTACATGATGATGGAAGACATCTATCATAATATGAAGAAAATGAAATATTCAACGTCCAATAATCAATCATAAGTTTATTAATAATTGATTCAATTGTTTCATTAGGTGGATTCAGATTATCATTTAAATTTGAAAAATTAAAAAAAGGATAAGCACCACTAAGAAAGAACACATGTAATTCAGTCATACATTGTAGATTATAAAAACATTCTAATGTTGATTTCATTAATCCATCGATTTGCGAACAACCAAAAAAGAAATTTGGAACTGAGAAATATATAGTCATGATCTCCAAAGAAAAAATATCAAAGTCGAATATACCGATAGGAATAAGGCATGATGATGATAGAATACATGAACATCTAAAATATTCTTCTTCTTTGATACTCATTTTTGTATCATTCGGGTTATTTCTATAAACATGATATTCAAGTCTCGCACTCATAAGCTGATTTCCATGTGATACAGCTTGAAATATTTTTATTGCTTGTAAAAATTGATTCAAGATTTGAGATTTCCAATCAGAAATTAATGAATTAATTTGAATTTCAAATCGATCTTTAGAAATAACTTGTGAAGAAAGAAATTGTGTTTGAAGTAATGTTTTAATATTAGTATGTACTGTTTGTTGAGCATGTTCACAAAACATTGACAATAACTGAAATTGAAATACACCAGACATTCGATAGTCAAATATTGCAACATAAAGTTTATCCCAGTTATCACTGTCAAGAAAGTTAATCCATGAATCTGATATCAAATCACTTGAACACACTTGATGAAAATATGATTCAATCGTAATAAAAGTTGAATAATTCATTGAAACTGTTGAACATGAACAATGAAGATTTGAATAATTAAGTTTTTCAAGTTCTTTGTATTGAAATTCGGATGGTTGATGAATTGTTTTTTGTTGAAGATCTTTACTTAATAATGTACAGAAACTTAATATAATAAGTGAAATGAGAAGAGCAAATAAATACACTCGAGTTGCAATTCTTTGATATTTAATTTGATCTTGATTGGTTTCTTTTTTTTTAAACAAATTTAGTTCAATTAAAACCTTTTTCACAAGTCTTTTTATCTTAGTTGTTACTAAACATAAAAAAAAAGAAAGAACTAATTTTATTTTAGAAAAAAATAAATCAAGACTTTAACATTCTCAACGTAATTTCAATCGTAAATCAAATCAATCATTATAATCAACAAGAAAATTATGTCAGTGTACCGTTTTTAACAGAGAAAGTATAGTGATCTCAGGAGATCTGTGTAGTGAAAACGCTTTGTCAGAGTACCTAATATAGGTATTTCGAAAAATTTCAGTAATTATACTGATGTAGGTACTCAATTGGATTTTCGTAAAAGCGCATTTACCAAGCAAGTACTTGTCTAAACATTCGAATCTGTAATTTTACTGAGAAAAATTCTGTAGAATACTTAACATTTGTCACTTTTTTGACAGCAACTGTTCATTTATCATTGTCTTTTTTGCACACGACTTCATCGTAAAATATAAGAGGTCAATCGATTTTTATACTAATTTTTTCTAGATTATTTCTTAATCGAGAACATATTAATCTTCATTGTAAATTACGAACGAACTATTGTCAAGTGATTAAATGGATATCTGACTAAGTCATGTCAGCTCTGATCATGGCTTTGAATCTGTTCGGTTTTGAGAATCGATAAATATTTTATTGAATAAAATGGAAAAATACGTACTAAATTGCTTTGATGAATAGATAAATATGCTAATCTCGGATTTATATCCGAGAATTATGTGCACTTCAAAAACTGAATGAGACAAATCGGTCATCTTAGAATGTTTGAATATAAAAATTTGCCTGGCAAACCGTCCCTATAAACCGCTGAATCCCGTTGGCTACTGCTCGACCAATAGGACTTGAAAACGTATACCGCTTAGATTTCAACTTTTCTGCCAAACTTAGCCTCAGAAATTCATTTTTCTTATAACTTGATTTCTATTGGTCAACGTCCAACCAATGGGTCTTCGAGGCAAGTGGAGTACAGATTCGAGTTCTTCATACTAAAAAACCCTCGATTACCACCTCTAAGATAGAAAGATAGACTCCCGATCGGGCATCGATTGGTGCATGCACAAAAATCGAACCGATTTCCGCTTATTTATCTTCCCAATGGGTGGGTTAGTTTTCTTATTTCTTAATGTTTTATATATCATTTTGTAGCTCTTGAAATTCTCTAACGAATGGTATATAATAGTTGGGGTTTTAATTGACTGTGATAGGAAAAGTCTTTTACGAAAGTGGCAATGGGTCGGCTTTCCCATAGGAAGCCATAAGGAGAAACGGATATTTTTGCAATAACTCAAGAACAGTCCGGCCGATCGTCCTCATCTTCGAACTCAATC